AGAGTTCAACTTACCCTCTGCAGCAATCTGGCACACATCATTGAGAGCCTTTTCTATTGTCACCATCCAACCCTTAATGTCACTGGTCGAGAGTGCTTCCAAGGTCTCTTCGGCAGCATGTTCTGCGGGTTGCGGAGTGCTGGGAGGGCTGCGACACGTTTTCGAACTCCGATTAAAAGGGCTATTTTCTATGTTAGCCATGTTAACGTTTAATTATGTAACATAGTGTATTACAAACTAAACAAAATTTATTAAATGTTGAATAATCTAGGTCAATACTTGATTGACTAATTGTTTACATGAATAAAAAATAAATATTGCAATTAAGGCACGTCTACTCGCCGTCGTGTTCTCGCAAATATGATCACCATCGGTTTTATCACCCTCGAAAACCATGAAAAGGACACCCATGACGATAAATTGAAAAATTTTGTGCAGACGTCAGCCCTGTTCATTTCCATTTGCTGATTTACTTTATCCAAGTTTTCGAAGATATTATTCATAATAGCTAGTCATTAATTGATTAATTACTAGTCATTACGAATAATATCAAATTAATCACTTTGGCTGTAACATATGTATATACATTTAGGTCAAACTGATACTCCTTTTTTAAAGTCGGTTAAAAAAGAATCATCAAAATACGTTAAAAAACGACGAAGTCATCCCTAAAGGAATATAAAAAAAAACCTTATAGGTATATAACTTTTCCTTTTTTTTAAGTCCGTTATAAATAACAAAGGTCTGGGGTTCATAGGCTCTTGTACTATATGGATTGTCAAATTATTATTTTTTACGGCAACGCTGGGGCTAAAAAAATATTAAAACATTACAATAATAATTTTCCAAATTATTTAGATAATAAATAACTATTAAAATAATATTGTTAATAATTAGATATTGATATTAAATACTTTTTATATTATCTCCTTATTTCTATAAAATAGTATGCATGTAGTTTGTACTATTTTAATACTGGCATATAATATGTATACTTTTTGCTTAATAAAGAAAAGAAACAAAAACAAAAATTTGAAATGTCAAAATTGTAAAAATTTTTGCCAAAAATATTTTAAATTATTTATATTTAATAATTTGTGATGGGATTTTGTGATTGTTTTTCTAAAAAAGGAAGTTCTGCGATGCGTGTTGTGTTTTCTATAAAGGACCTTTTGTATACATGTGTATCACAAATCACAAAAGTACATTGTGTTTGTTTGTCTATTCATTGGACTTGATTTTACAAAGGAACGCTTTAATTTGCGTATATATCTTTCTTATTTATAATAAAGAACATCAATACGAAGAATACAATCATGTTGCTGAAGGTAAAACCTACAACAAGTTTATGATTTTTGCTATTGAACCTATTTATACATTTTATTTGATTCATTGAGATACCAAACTATGTAGTTTTTATAAATTTCTACTTTTTCTTTTGTATATTTGTTACAGTGATATTTGGAATTGCTATTGCATCGATATTACTTCAGCATCATCATTGCAGAATATCAATAATGCAATTTTTGATCGGCAGTTACGAGTCTTACGATGTCCGGATAAAGTGCCGATCTATACCAGCAGTGCTTGAAACCTATTTTAGAGATGGTAAATACTATATTATTCTTGTAACATCAGTAATATCACGTAAGGTACACCTACCTTAGATAAATAAAAGAAAACAAATAAATAAAATACATATTTCTGCATGTAAAAATAATCTTTGTTTTTTTTTCAGGTACTATTTGGAATTAATCTAACATTCAGACGTATATTGTTGTCTCAAGAAACAAGAAACCCATAGATCGCTGCAAATATTAAAGCCGTATTATTTTTGTAAAACTATTTTTATCTTTGTATTAATGTATATATCATAATTAGAACAACATTTTAAGTACCTACGCACAACAAAGTAATATTAAATTATAAATAAACTAAAATAGGTACATTTTCACACCTTAAAAAAAATGTTACCTTTAGGGCATTAAAAAATTCTTTTTCATCGCTATCGTGGAGTAGGGTGCCCAAAAGACTGGCAGCATTATTCTAGGTTTTACTTATTTGTATTCATATATGTAGAGGTCTCTCCTTCTTGGGCTTGACCTGGTGAAAATGGGCACCGCTTCCCGCAACCCGCAGGAAAAACGATGCTCATAGCCCCTTCTAAATTTGACTTATAAATCTCCTTCTTTCTCTTCTGCTGACTACTTGACTACTAACTGGGTGTAGTTTGTGTGCCAGATGTGGATTGTGAGCTTCATGTGATGGTTGACTGAGTGGTATGTGGTGTTTGCGCTTGAGATGGTTGTAATTGATCGGAATCTGGAATGTATGTGACGAAAACTGTCTCCTAGTACTTTGCTAAGAATGATTATTGTGTGAATGGTGGCTAATGTCTATTTATGTTTCTAGTTTGTCTGTGTATCTGCTGAGGCTTTTGGCTAGTACCTACTCCTGTGGCTCCAATTACTATAGAATTAACATGCGTTTCAATATTGCGTTTTATAGCCTTGAGTTGTGTCTTTAAAAAGTGGTATTTACTGAATTTCTTTAGCTCCTATGTTGTAGTTACATGGTACAGTTATGTCAAAGAGGTATGTGGTGTTGGATGTTTTGTTTGTGTATATTATGTCCGGTCTGTTGTGGGCAACTGTGAAGTCTGTCTGAATTGGGAATTCCCACATTATTTTGTCTGTTTCATTTTCATTTGTATTTATAATAATAATATTACTTTGTTTCATTATAATGTTATAAAAATATTATATTTGAGGATAGGAAAAATCTGTAGTTGTTTAGTAAAAATTACTGTAATATAACTAGATATAGGAAACGACTAAGTCAGGCATTATTAGCAACTAGCAAAAAAAACTACTAAAAAACTGAGACTAACTGAGAGGCAGACTGAGACTTATTTTTAAGCACTATATTTTTCGACATTATAATAATAAGTGCGACTGCCGGGCAAGGGGTCCCGAGTTCGATACCCGGGTCGGGCAAAGTATTACTGGGTTTTAAAAAAATCTCAGTAGTAGTAGAGTAGTCTGGAAATGTGCCCGGTATATGGCAATAGGCTCACCCCCTATTACATGGGACTTATAACATAAATAGTGAAAAGTGGGTGTTACATTGTACAGTGGCATTGAGTGCCGAAATGTGCACCTCTGCCTACCCCTTCGGGGATAAAAAGGCGTGATGTTATGTATGTTATGTTAAGTAAAATGTATAATAATTTTGTGTTTTCGTAAATACTGTAAGCGATTCAAATCGATGGTAAAATGTACTACATTTGTGTAGGTATTACGGTTAATTTATATCATTAGATTGTTAACTACTGTTAGGTACTGTGTAAACAACGGTGAACAGTAAATATTTTTAATTTTAGTTCTTTGTGGAATCAATAATTAAAAAAATAACTAATTCAAATAAATTTTGAACGCCATATTTATATCTGAAATTTGTAAACATAAAATTAAAAAGAACTAAAATTTGAATTATACTTTTAACAAATCTGTTGTCTGATATTTCCCTACTAGCTGATAATTTTTAAATGTTAATTTGTATTTACTGTAAAATAAATGTAATATTGTAATTAATAACTTCTTTGATTTTGCAGCTACCAGACATAGCTAATTCCAATACTACCTTCAATGTACCAACCTGCAAGGTGCATTGTTGGTAGTATTGGCATTAGCTATACTTAGGATTATCTGTAGACATTAGTAAAAAAAAAATATACTAGGATTCAATTTTCAGATGGCGTTTCAAATTGATTGGCATAAATTTTGACGAGTGGTAACTCTTTACCCCTATACTTATTATACTCTTTGAACTAAACTCTCATGTCAAAAATATGTCAGATAACATAGAAATTAATGTATACTAAATAATATGTGTGTGTCTGTTTATTTTGTTAGATATTAACGTGATTTTTTATTGAGTGGATCTCCACTACTACTCAACTACTTTCTACTACTATTTGCTGGACTACATTTATTATATACACTACATTTTGGTTCCCACTTGACCACTTTCCTAAAACAGGGTCTGGAAGTTTGTATGGAGCATTACGTAACTTTCAAGGAACCTAAAATTAGTATCATATTTGTGACCAGCTAAACATCGCGCACCAATTCTTTTTTATCTTTTGTAAACCTGCCCTCAATACTTTAAAGAGCGCGAGCGAAACCGTGAGCAGAAGCTAGTCCAAGAATAAATTGTTAGTTAAATAAATTAATATTTTGTCTTTAAAATCTCTGATTCTGATGCAGCTAACTACTATTATTAGCCCTTGAAAACGGTTTTCTATGGGCATTCAAAGGCTTAAGCAATATAAGGTACCTAGTTTTTTTACACATCGGGTTACACTATCGAAATATGTATGTTCACAATGTAGGATTCCAAAGGTAAAAGAATTTTTCAAAGTCAGGTAGTTTCGAAGCCTATTCAATTCAAACAAACAAAAATTTAATCTTTCCTCTTTATACTATTTATAGTGTATATTATATACACACTGAGTGTACGGTGTTAACAAATAAAATAGTATCGTAGTCTTAACGTAACCTACCTTTATACAGATGTAAAAGTACACTATTAATATATTCCTTAACAAGATTTCAAAGATTTGGATTTACATTTTGACAGCACCATCAGTTTTATTACCCTTGACAACTACAAGAACAACACCCAATAATAAAACAAAAGTAGTACGCCAAGCAGCGCCACGCGTGTTACATTTTATACCTAACTATAAATTGGGCATAATGGCCACTCTGTTACATTACGGCTAGCAATATTGAAAAATACTTATCTCCGAAAACTATACAGCTTATTTTGACTCAGCCTTATTCAATTCAGTTAATCGTTCAGCCGTTGTACATATTATAAAATGTCCCTGTTTTGCTAAACGGCCAGTCGTAATGTAGTACGGCGGATTACACAATCCACCTGCGATATAAATATAGTAACAAGTGTCGTTTTTCTGTTACGGTGTTGCGACGCAGGTGATGATACTGATCACCGGCGCGCACAAGTCGCTGGCGCTGGCCAAGGCCGTGGAGGAGGGAGTCAACCACATGTGGACCGTGTCGGCCTTCCAGCAACATGCGCAGGCGCTGTTCGTGTGCGACGAGGACGCCACGCTCGAGCTGCGCGTCAAGACCGTCAAGTACTTCAAGGTACGTACGTATTGCAGGGCGAGCTGGCGGCCGGCTGGCGGCCGGCTGGCGGCGGGCTGGCGGCCGGCTGGCGGCGGGCTGGCGGCCGGCTGGCGGCGGGCTGGCGGCCGGCTGGCGGCCCGGAGCTAGTAGTGACGCTGTGTGTGTGCAGGCGCTGAGCGAGGAGCACCAGCGGATGATCGCCGGCGTGCCCGTGCACGAGCAACGCGTGCTGCACTGACTGCACCGGCTGCACCGGCCGCGGGCAGTGCGTACTGCACCGGCTGCACCTACTGCTGGGCGATACCGCGCCGTCCATTGATTGAGGCCATCGACCACATACGTTGCTTGACTTACAAATGTAACGCTAATAATAGCGAAGTATCTTAAACTTCCATATTAAGTACATAGGCACTATAACACTAAATTATTATTATAATCTACGTACGTGCCTTATGTTATGGTCAAATTGAAATAATTTTGATGAGCCGCAATAGCGGTGCAGTAAGTGGTGTCGCAGTAGCGGTGCAGTAGTGCAGTAGTGCAGTAGTGCAGTAGTGCAGTAGTGCCGCAGAGCCGCGCTAGTAACGTGTGGCGGTTGTTGCAGAGCCTCATGACGGAGCACAACAAGCTGCTCGAGATCCTCGCGCGGTGACTCGGCCGGCCACTCGGGGACCAAACCATTTATACTGTATATATATTATAATAAATGTAATGAGGTATTGTCATTAATAAAATAAATATTGTTTTACATGAATTACTTTTTATTTACACCTTAATATTTACTAATATACAAATTTATCACATCATATTATGTACATTCAGTCAAAAAAGTATCGGGAATGGATGATTTGTTGTTGTTTAAAACATGTTGCTACTCGGCTAGTCCACTATAGTCCATCTGTTTAGGTAATTAACTAAAGGTAAACAAAGAAAACCACGTGACACAGAGATACTTAACCTACTATTACTTCAAATATTTCTCGTGTTTTAATTTTAACTAAATTCACTTTAAAATCGTTCATTTGTCATACACACACATACAAGTACAAATGCCTAAATCGTAAGAGCCTAGCGTATGGGTCTATTTCATTATCATGTTTAAATAGAAACTATTCTGAATCTGATGTACGGATTTCTTTCTTGTTCGGATATGTGTCTTTGGGCCAAGTTTCTTCAATATATTTGAACACATTAATTACAAACGATGAATAACCTAAACTTAAATAACTTAATAACAAAAACAAAACAAAGAAAAAAGATAAATTCAACAAAATAGGAACGCGAGCGCAAACGACGAGAGAGCTGTCAATGGCGCCTGATTAACCGACTAAACGTAATACACGCTACTTTCATTGTCGCGCTACATCGTAGTTGTACTCTTTAATTTGACAACATTATTTTGCTTCGTTCTTAAAGAAACGTTTTGGATACCTGGGATTTTAGGCTCTTTATGGTGTCTATTGTAATGAAATATTAAATTATTTAATAAATGTTATTAAATTAATATCCTCAAGCAGATATATATAATATTTACTAAGAAATAAGTGAAAAGGAACAGAAACATAACATTTCATAGAGAAAATTGTCGTAAAAAAGGAAACAATTTTATTTTCTTATAAAGTATTTTGAAACATGGAAATGTCAACTATAAAGAACTCTTTTTATGGTTTGTTTACAAATAGTTAACTACCTAAACAGACGGAGTATAGGATCTGAATTTTCTCCTAAAACTCAATCGCATGAAAGTCGCTGAGGACATGCTAGAACGAGTCAGTTCGGACTCAAAATTCATGAAACTGTTACTGGTGACGAAACGTGGGTTTACGAGTTTGACTTGCAAACTAGTCAACAAGCTTCGGAGTGGCGCTTTCCAGCTGAACCAAAACCGAAAAAACCACGCCAAAGTCGATCAGAAGTCACAGTCATGTTTTCTTTGACTATCGCGGTGGTGTGCACTCTGAATTCTTACCGGAAGGTCTAACGGTAAATAAAGAATATTATTTGAGCGTTATGCGGCGTTTAAGAGAGTAAATTCGACGAAAAAGGCCCGATTTGTGAAAAGAAAATTCTTGGATTTTGCACCACGACAATGCGCTTTCGCACGAGGCTATCATTGTGGACGAATTTTTGACCAAACACTCAACAAATACGATCTAGCAACCACATGAAAGTCACCATATTCACCAGATATAGCTCCTGCTGACTTTTTTCCTAAACTCAAATTGCCACTTCGTGGCACCCGTTTTCAATCGATAGAAGACAAAGGAGAATTCGGGCGAGAACTGAATTTAATTCCGGAAGCAGCGTTTAAAAAATGGTTTAATGAACGGATAATTCGTTGGCGCATGTGTATCGTTTCTAAAGGAGCATATTATGAAGGTGATAAAATAAATTTGGATGAATAACAGACATTCTGTGTATTATTGATCTTTTCCCGGTACTTTCTTAACAGAGTAGTATTTAGCATGCAGAAAATAACACCTGTGTTTTTATCAAAAGTAGTTTGGCCTCTCCTCTCAAGTTACAAGAAACAAAAAGATAATATATAGTTAAGCATTAGCGAAAGGGTAGGTAAGCGTAGTGGACTGGTCAGTGGGCGGCGGCGGCCCGGCAGCAGCGCGCCAGCAGGCCGGCCAGCTGCAGCGCCGAGCCCAGCCCGTCCGCCACGAGCTGGGTCAGTGGGCGGCGGCGGCCCGGCAGCAGCGCGCCAGCAGGCCGGCCAGCTGCAGCGCCGAGCCCAGCCCGTCCGCCACGAGCTGGGTCAGTGGGCGGCGGCGGCCCGGCAGCAGCGCGCCAGCAGGCCGGCCAGCTGCAGCGCCGAGCCCAGCCCGTCCGCCACGAGCTGGGTCAGTGGGCGGCGGCGGCCCGGCAGCAGCGCGCCAGCAGGCCGGCCAGCTGCAGCGCCGAGCCAGCCCGTCCGCCACGAGCTGGGTCAGTGGGCGGCGGCGGCCCGGCAGCAGCGCGCCAGCAGGCCGGCCAGCTGCAGCGCCGAGCCCAGCCCGTCCGCCACGAGCTGGGTCAGTGGGCGGCGGCGGCCCGGCAGCAGCGCGCCAGCAGGCCGGCCAGCTGCAGCGCCGAGCCCAGCCCGTCCGCCACGAGCTGGGTCAGTGGGCGGCGGCGGCCCGGCAGCAGCGCGCCAGCAGGCCGGCCAGCTGCAGCGCCGAGCCCAGCCCGTCCGCCACGAGCTGGGTCAGTGGGCGGCGGCGGCCCGGCAGCAGCGCGCCAGCAGGCCGGCCAGCTGCAGCGCCGAGCCCAGCCCGTCCGCCACGCGCAGCTGCGTCAGCCCCACCTCGCGCACCAGCGCCAGGCGCGTGGCCTCGTCCGTGTCCAACGTCTTGCACACGCGGAAGATGTTGCTCACGATGTCCTCGGCCGCGTAGCCCAGCTTGCACAGCTTGGCGACGACCTTGTAGGCCTCGTGCACGTCCTGGCGCAGGCAGGCCTCCAGCATGGCGCGCACGAACATGGGGTGGGGCTCGTCGCACACCTTGAACACGTGCTCCGCGCTGATGTGGCCGAAGCCTTGCGCCGTGGACTGCAGATTGTTCAGCGCCGAGCGCAGGTCGCCCTGCGCGGTGAACACCACCGCATTCACGCCCTCGTCCGTGTACGACAGTTGCTCTTTCTCACACACTTCCAGCACCTAGTGCACAAGATTAAGGTTACTTCATGGGAGGAGTTGTGTAACATGACATCACAAGGAGAGTCAGTTCGCCCCACTGACCTTGGCCATGATCTGGGCGTCCGTGAGGCGCGAGTAGCGCAGCACGGCGCAGCGCGACTGGATGGGCTCGATGATCTTCTCGGAGTTGTTGGCAGCCAGCGCGAACCGCGTGGTGTGCGAGTATAGTTCCATGGTGCGCCGCAGCGCTTGCTGCGCGCCGTCCGTCATGCTGTCTGCTTCGTCCAGGATCACCATCTTGTGCCGCCCAGCTGGTAGCGTCACCTGCCATAATATTACTGCTTAACCATTTATAATTGTGTTATCATTTTCTTTCCTTTCCTTTGTTCCAAATAGATATATAAAACAAGTCCAACATCCGAGTTCTACTATAAATGCAAAAGTTCGTGAGGATGAATGTTTGTATGTTTCTTACTGTACTACAAAAAACTGCAGAACAGATCTAAATGTTTGACATAGAGATAAGGAACAACACATCATACATAGACATCAGCCAGCCAGTCACCCAAACACTCTGGTACAGTCACTAATGGACGAACACAAGGCAGTGCATAGGCTAAAGCGTAGAATACCACAAGATGTGATCCAACCACAGTAAAAAACTGTATTTATGAAGAGGATGTGACACAGGTCACATATCGAAAACACTAACTAAAGTAACATCCAACATACTGCCGAATGTCCCAAAGAAGGCGACAGATTGTAGTTATAAATAAATAAAAATAAAAAAAACATTAACAAGATTAATATTCAAAATTTATTCAGTCCATCAGTTTTAATTTTTTAAATGTTGCCCAACCCTAGATTTTTCTCCTGTGTCGTAGGTGCGTTTACAAACATACAATATCACATACACATGGCACCCAGACACAGAACAACAATCTGTGGATCACACAAAGAGTTGTTCCGTGCGGGAATCGAACCCGCGACACATTGCGCAGCAGCCAGTTGAACAGCCACCGCGCCAACCATACAGTCAATCAATAAAGCAGTTAAATAAATAAACACAAGTTTAAAATAGTTGAAAGTATATAATACTATAAGTAAAGAAAAATATATGTTTGATGAACAACCCCATTATTGTTTTTATTTTTGGGCATTCCATTGTATTTTTACTTATTAGTTACCCAAAGGGATATACACCGAGTGAAACTAGGGAAGGCCACTATCTAGTAGTTAGTACTAATTATTGGTGTATGAGTTCCCCAGTGGGATGGACAGTAACAATAATTTATTTAATATGTATAGTGCAACCTACTTTTTGTTGTGCGAACATTTTGATCTTATTACGCACGACGTCGATGCCTCGGTCGTTGGATGCGTTGAGCTCAAGTACTGCGTCTTTGAAAGCGGTGCCGAGCAAGGCGCGTGCCAGACATAAGATTGTCGTAGTTTTTCCTACACCTGGCGGGCCGGCGATTATTATGTTAGGAGCATTCCCAGATTTGGCGAACACTGCTAACCTCGACACTGTATCGTCGTTTCCCACGATGTCACTGAATATAATCGGCCGGTACTTCTCTATCCATGGCAAATGTGAAGTACATTTAGAACCACTAGCACTAGTAGTTGCCACTTGGGATTCTTGTGATTTTGAAAGTTTTGGCGGGATTTCATCCACATCCATAACTGCAATCTCGTTATCACTCATTATAAAACTAAGGGAACTATTCTTTGTTTCCGTTTCTTGCTTAAGTGTTTATAATAATTGACAAGCAAAGAAAAAAAGCAATTATGGTTAATTTAATTTATTTACACAAACCGCAACGAGATCAAACAGTGATGAACTTTTGCAACATTTGACACTTTGACAGACAGAACACAGCCGGGGCAGTGACAGTTGAGTTTGAGAGTTTGTTTGAGTTTATAGTATTGAGTAGATACCCATACCAATAAACTTTTTTTTATAATCTATTCATGACCATAGATACAAGTCTTTCAGTCGAATACATAGATATTCCCCTATACTTATTATACTCTTTGCATACCTAGATAATTTGTAATACATTAATAACCCATTTATATTAAAAAGTATAATAAGTATAGGGGATATTTATACTCTGCAGTTGAGTTGCTATGAATGAAATTAAAATTGAAACCCTCGGAACAATAATTATTGTTCGGAGTTAAAACCACAGGGCACAGACTACTTTATGTGATTTTATACGACTATTATCAAAAATCAAATTTAATGTACCTAATAAAATATTTAGATTTAATCCACCTTTACACGTATCCCGTTCCTCATCTAACTACAGGCAGAACAGTTACATTGTGCGTGCAAGCAGACACTTTAACAATGTTTGTAAGGAATATGACTTCGATCCGTTTACAACTAGTGTGAACTCGGCAAAGAGGTGCTTAAGCCTCAAATTTTTTAAGCAGCACTAGATATTTAGTTTTTTTTTATCGTTTCTCTTGATCTATTTATTATATTGTTATTTATATTGTCTGTACGGTCTGTTTCAGTATTATTCTTTTTTTTTTAATTTATGCAGAATGTATGTATTTTTTAATATTGTATAGTACTCACACCATATTAATTAATTTATTCCAGATCATAAACGTGAGGACTTGTTATTGGCTCATTGTTACCTACGCCTATTGTTATTTTTATCCATTTTTATAAGCTGTAAGTCTTCCATGAATTATAAATAAATAAATAAATAAATAAATAAATAGATAGATACTACGTATACTACCCCTATACTTATTATACTCTTTGTATACTACTACGTAGTATCTTACTTACATTACGTAGTATCTTTATGTAGTCTGTAAATTATTATAAATTGTCGCTTGTCAATTATTCGAAACACGCAAGAAACGGAAACATATTATTATATGTATTATATTAAAACTTTGATTTCGACAGTTTTGATCATCGGCGATGACCGTAGATGGATGTAATTTAAATATTATTCTTGTTATTGTCTCAAAAACGTTTGGTTTTCTCACTTGCAGCCACGTTCCAGATCCAGATGAAAGAGAAGTAAAAAAAAAGCGATTGCGACACTAGACGTTTTTTTTGTTGTGTGTAATGCACCGGGGTAATGGAATAATATAATAGTAAAAAAATAGAATTAATCTATCACACATACACACACACAATCATTACTAAAGCTGTGAACCTGACATCCAAACTGCCAAAGGCCTAACCACATAGCCATTGAATTGAGAAGTTGACAATGTCTGATTGATAACATATAATAATGTCAAATTTGACAATTAATTAAACTCTCCAATGTCACTTTTGTCAGTAAACAGTAGTTTATTATAAAATTAAATACAATATTAATTTGATACCTGGATTTTAACTAAACTTTATCATTTTGTAAATTTACTCTGATTTAATTAATTGAAACATAGTATAAATGTTTCTAGTCTAGGCAGTCTAGCAAGCGATTAACCTTAACCTGGGATGGTGAATCATCACTCCAAATATCTTTAGGCTTCCGCTGTATTTACACATTTATCAGGTAAATGGTCATCCTATTTATTAGATATATATAATGCTTGCCAGCTGGCTTTCTCTGAGCCTGAGATTTGATATTGATGTATTGTTTTGAAAATTAACATCTGCTCAAGATTCTCACTGACCAATAATTCTTCAGTGAATACTAGAATAAAAGTTTCTATCAAAATTGTTTTACTTCTACTCACTTGTAACTTACATTACATTACCTTAAATTAATGTTAAGTTTTATGATTTGAAAAATTCAAATTGGATATGTAATCTAGTAACGTAAATAAAAGCAATTTACCCTTTTAAGTTAAACTGATGAAAACTAAAAATTAGTCTCAAACTTTCAGGACATACATAGCTCCCATACACGAGTATAGTAACACAGGTTCTACCTTTGACAGACACCAGTCTCTTCATAGTGGCAATTGTAAAAAACAAGTTGTAACTGTAGTGCAATGGAGGCTACACGGGGAGAACCTAACGGGTTGCTGGGGCTCCGGCTCGAAGCCCAGGAGTAGGAACGGGGTGGTTTTTAGTCAGTAAGACTGACTGTTTCTAGTCAGTCTGTCACCCTTACCCTTCCACGGTTTTTTTTAACAGCAGATGGCGCTAATTTATGAATAGGTTAGATTCTCCAATCACTGTAGCAGTGCCATAAGGTTAATAATTACCAATGGAGTGATACTGACTTTTCCCAATTAGATGAAAACACAAGAGGTTTACATTAGCTCCATCCGATGAGCGAAAAAAATGTAGCCCGCTTTAAAATAATAAAGAATTTACTATTCAGTCAATACAGGGTGTAACAACATTAATTTGATGAACTCTCATCGGGTTCTCCCGCTGTCTGGATAGATCTTTGAAAAACAACAAATATTTGTGTACAACAAAGATAAAAACATGAATAAAAAAGTAAATAAACATATTTAAAAAATGCATGGTAATTTTAATTTTCCTAATAACATAATATATGGTAATGTAAATACGTAATACATTCAAATAAGTATAAGTAGATGTACCATCATAACCATGCAACAAGACTGTGAACTAGTTAGTTAATGTAATACATTGCACACTGTACTGTTCTTATAATTCCAGTTGTAGTAATACATCAAAGACAATGGAGTGGTTATTTGGACATCGGATGACTCCGGAGGAGATGCTGCGCAAAAACCAGCGCGCACTCAATAAGGCCATGCGAGACCTGGACAGGGAGCGTATGAAGATGGAACAACAGGAGAAGAAGGTCATCAATGACATCAAGAAATTGGCCAAGGAGGGCCAAATGGTGAGTTGTGCAAAGCGGACACATTTATTTTCGAAATTAAGTAACATTTGCGAATGGACAAACTTGGAGCACTCTCTAGTTGTTCCAATTTCTTATTTCGGCAATTTATTAATTTGTAAACAAAGTAGAGTATATATAAAATACTACTACTGATGCTGCTGCTGCTGAAAGTATTCGTAAGCATGTATCGTGTTGCGCAGGACGCAGTGAAGATAATGGCAAAGGACCTGGTGCGCACGCGGCGGTACGTGCGCAAGTTCATGTTGATGAAGGCCAACATCCAGGCAGTGTCGCTCAAGATCCAGACCCTCAAGTCGCAGAATACGATGGCGCAGGCCATGCGCGGCGTCACGCGCGCCATGGCCACCATGAACCGGCAGCTCAACATGCCCCAGATACAGAAGATCCTGCAGGTACCGGCCCATCGCCACTACCGTCACTTGTCTGCGTCCCTGGCGCGCCTCACGTATCTTGTCTCGTTACAGGAGTTCGAGAAACAGTCGGAGATAATGGACATGAAGGAGGAGATGATGAGCGACTCCATCGACGAGGCCATGGCGGCCGACGACGACGAGGAGGAGAGGTCAGTCCTTGCTGCTAGTTGCATCGGGCTAGGCATAGAGAGAAGCGTAAATACAATCAGGCGGCCGGCAGTCGCCACACTGCCGGCTACCCGGTGGAGGAAAATAGCTGGAGATACATTTGATGTTAGCCCAAAAAATGTCATAAAATAGTACATTATAAGACATTTAAAATAGTACATTTCCCGTCTGTTCACAGTTATCTGCACATACAATGTATATCCAGATAACAGTAAGAGTACGTTAGTACATGATTGTGTTGTTGCAGCGACCAGGTGGTGTCGCAGATCCTGGACGAGCTGGGCCTGCAGCTCAACGACACGCTGTCGGGGCTGCCGCAGGCTACCGGCTCGCTCTCCGTCGCAGGTCAGTACGCCGCTCATTGGTTCACTGCATACTCCACAAACGAGAGCTGTGTAAGTACTTACGTTTCCACGATATTGCAGCGAAAAATCCGGCGGCGCCGGCGGTCGCGGTCGCGGGCGGCTCCGGCGGCGGCGGCGCCGGCGTAACGGACGCGGATGCTGAACTGCAGGCACGCCTCGACAACCTACGCCGCGAGTGACTCGGCCGTCAGTGATTCCAATGCGAGTAACTCCGCCGGGAGTAACTCCGACTCCGTCGCGAGTGACTCCGCGCGGGTGACCCCGCCCGCGCCCGACACTACACGTCACGTGATTCTCACAACTCAATCCACTATGTACACGTTGTTTTTAAGTTATACATATATTAAGTTTATCTAAGAATATAATAAATATTTTTACAAAAACTGACATGTCTCTTTCCATAAAATAATTATGTTGTCTTGTTTTTTGAGATTCTATTCTACTCAGCATCGCCCCTGAAACATATTGCAAGCAAACTCGTCATTTTGATTAGACCGCACGGCAGCCAGAATTTGGATTCATTAAGTATTTCATTTTCACAAAAAAAACTACCTTCATTTTGTAATAAAAAATATCTGTTTACTCACGTAACTACCGCGCACGCTGCCCACGAGGAAGAGTCCCGCTGTGACTCGAAACTTATAGAGCTTTTCTCAGTATATTCACGCGAGTATAACCGACATCGGTATTTTTACTTACTTTAATATGTCTGACGATAATTATCATGTCTATACATTATAATAAATCTATAGAAGTCAAATACTGTACATTTATCCTACCTTACCTTACCTATATATGAAAGAAAGTCGTGTTAGTTACACCTTTTTTTTACTTTTTACCTAAAATCACGAACGGGAATGGGGAAAAAAACGATATTGCGCGTACGAAGTCGCGGGCAAAAGCTAATTGTTGAAAATATAAAAATAAATAGTAGTAGATGGACAAAAATGTGTTTAAAAAAACGTCTGTCTGTCTGTATGTTCACGCATCCCGCATAAACTAAAGGTCCGATTACTATGAATGAAACTTGGTATGATTATAGTTTAATATCCTGGCATTCACACTGGGAACTTTCTATCCCGAAAAACAAATTATTATTTTAAACGTTGCCCACACTATGGTTTGTGTGGCTGGATCGCTAGATCGCAGTTACTGTACTTACCAAACGCAAATATAAGTTTGTCGAATGTTAGGTTGCCCGCAGGCCGCAGTGGACGCTGTAACTGTAGCGTCGATGGTTGAAATTGGCTTCTTGAAAACCGATATTATAAATGCAGGAATAGGTGAGTTTTTGTGTGTTTGTTATTCAGTCACACCAAAATGGCTGAAGGGACTGGGATGAAATTAGGAACACAGGTAGGGAACCCCCTGGGAACGCGGGCGAAGTCGCTGGCAGAAGCTAGTTATACGAATGTAAAGTGTAGTTAGTTCATTTACTCGATAAGACTCCGACACAGCCTGTTGACTGGACTACAGGGAGCTGGAGGGATCATGAGGATTTGAACGTATTACAAAAAGTAGATAATAAAAGAATAATGCTTTAAAGTCTATCATTTTATATCATTTTTCTAGTATGAGCTAGTGTCCAAGTACATATAAGTAGTATCTATTATGGTAAGTATAGTCTAATTATAGGTATCTATGCAAACACAAATAAGTTTTGGCATTGTTCAATAAACTAATATTCCTTACCCAATACCATAATTTTATTTATTCATTTTTAATATAGTGGGTACACACTACACTGGTCAGTGTCCAGTAGTACGGCGACGCACTGCGGGATATGTGTGGCCAGCTACTACTCAACCTATCGTACTACTTCGTTCACATTAACTTCATACACAAGTCGATCACTCTCGCCTACTTAAAATTTATTGTCAAACAAACATAATCATAACTGTGTGTGCACAGCAGTCTACAATTGTTTACGTATAGGGCAAGTCGAGGAGAAGAACGAACCTCGAACGCGTTCGGGTCGCGAAGTGAAATAGAAGACGGTAGCGCTCTCCATGTATCGTCATTCTTGTTTGTGTCGACTGCAAACTGTGCGCAGTGGCTGGGCAACTGGCTGTTTGCAGCATTTAGTGGGTTCGAGTCCCATACGAAACAATCCACAAATTGTTGTTACATGTAAACTAATGTGTTTGTAAACGCACAGCGGAAATCTTAATGTGAAGATGTTTTGGTTTAAAATAAACCTAAAGCTCCATTTGTGGCGTGACGCGTGACACGTGACGCGTGGAGCGACAAGACAGCGCTACTACATAAATACCGAAACAAACAAACGTGGTGCTTGATAAAGGAAGACTATTTCAATGACTATTGTCTCCTCCGACACGTGGAGCCGGGGAACGACAACAGAGTGTACACTAACGGGGCAATACATGACAACTCCAGGACAATGGGAACAAAGATGATTTGTGACTAGCTACACAAATATGACATGAAAACAAATGTTGCCAAAGAGACTGCGTCTGTACCTCTGCGGTTTGGTACTATATGTATAGCTCCCAGCTACATACCGCACAGTAGATAGTAGCGACTACAGACCTCTGTTTGGTGTGGTTGGACCCAGTATTGCTGACTGCAAAGAAGGGCTTTTAGAGATATATTCATTTGTCCGGCCAGACCACGGCACTACATACACATTGGCACACGGTGACTGGCTGCCTTCTCTCTCACTCCGCTACTACTCCGGAAGCTCATGCATCTGACTCGCAAATATATTTAAAAGAACACAATTTAACAGGAACATATTAATTAACAGTCCTCATTATAGAAGAAGACAATATTTCATCGCAATGTAGATATATCACAGACGGTCGCATTCAACATGCGCGTGTCGAATGTTTGTGCGGGCACATGTCACCCAAGTAAACGCTCATCAAAAATAAACCTAAGTCTAACTATCGAACTATCGAGGCACTGCGTGGTCGACGCGCTGCGGGCAGTGGAAGTCAGGGCCCCGGCCGCTCCTGCAGCGCGCTCAGCGCGATGCCCAGCTGGCCCAAGTAGTACGTGGACATGACGGCCACCTGCGCGTGCGGCACCGCGGCCCCGAACAGGTGGTAGCCCAGGATGGCGTCCGACACCAGGAACAGCAGCGCGCCCGCCGCCGCCGCGCCGCCCCGCGCCGCGCCGCGCCACGCCATGCTGGCCAGCAGCACCGCGTACAGCGGCACCAGCGTGCGCAGCCCGGCCGGCGGCGCCAGCGCGCGCACGTAGGCGGCGGCGCCGCAGTACAGCGCGGCGCCCAGCCAGGCGACGCGCCGGCCGCCGCGGAAGGCCGCCAGGTAGGCCACGTGCGCGGCCGCGAAGGCCATCATGCCGGCCACGAAGTGCTGCGGCCAGACCAGCAGCGCGTCGCCCAGCGCCGACAGCGCCAGCCCCGCCGCCACGCGCCGCGGGTACCCGGCCCTGCACACACCGGATACACGCTACACAGGTGCCCTGGACATTACGGGACGTCCATTGATTTAAATTAATGTAGTGTGACCGGGGTTCATTTCACTCCCCTCACTCCTCATAGCAACTCCATCGGTAGGTACTTATTACTTTCTAAACTATAACCATTTACATAGTATTTTGTATTTTATTGTCAAGTACTTTAATTTTCTTCTATCTATCAATAGGAGCAGAGCAGTAAAGGAATTTTCCTTTGTGGGGGAAACGGGAAGTTACTCCATCACGCAAAAAGTACTATTAGGAGGACGATGAAACTTAGTATGATGATTATATATTACTAGCTTTTACCCGCGGCTTCGCTCGCGTCACAAAAGGATAAAAGTGGCCTATACCAATACACACAGCGCCATCTATAACAATTCTTTTGCTTTCCCTCGGGAATACCAAAATTTTCCGGGATAAAAAGTACCCTATTATTTAATCCGGACTTCTAATTTTACGTCTGCAAAAATTCAAAGCAATCGGTTTAGAAGTTACAGCGTGAAAGCGGAACAAATAAAAAAAACAAACAAACTCACTTTCCCATTTATAATAGTAAGGATACTTTAATATCCTGGGCATCGCACTGGGTACTTTTTATCTCGAAAAAGTACATACTTATACTAAAAAACAACCTTAATTTTATTGCGCGGCTCAATCCCTAGACACAGTTACTGTACAAAACGCAAATATGTATGTACATACATATAAGTTTGTCGAATGCTAGGTTCCCCGCAGTGGACTTTACGCTGTAACTGTAGGGCCGATGGACTGTATAGAAAGAGACAAAAAGTAGCCTATGTCTATAAAATATCTCCTCTTAAAAAAGCATGACATTTTTTAATAAGTGAGTTTACAGAGCCAATGGATCATTGACAATTTATTTTGGTCTAATTAGTAACATTAAGTTACGCAAAAAGGTCGTCAGCAGTCTAAAGAGAGAAATCCATGAATACTTATATTTTTAGTTAACTTGATACGGTATTTGCATTTCAATTCCGTCGAGATCCTCCTCTCATAACAAGGAATCCTGCCTCTCTCTCGAGGACTCCTGCCATAACATGTACATACCTACATAATAGGGAAGGTGGACAACATTTTTATCCCACTTTTAAGTATTCATTGGGTACAAAATAATAATTAAAAATGTTTGTCGTAAGAGTTATGACAGCCATGATGACAGATGCGTTGCATTCAATGTCAACACTTACATCAGAATCTGAACTTACCAGCGTTATGAAAAACAGTTCTTATTTACCTAATGTTATACAAAATAAGCTATGTTTGTCTTGCTTGAATTTATTAATTACTGCCCGCGACTTCGTACGCGCAATCTGATATTTCCCGTTCCCGTTCTTGATTTTCGGTAAAAAATAAAAAAAAGAATTGGGTAAAAAGTAACCTATGTCCGTCTCCTGGTTCTAAGCTACCTCCCCACCAATTTTCAGCCAAATCGATTTAGCCATTCTTGAGTTATAAATAGTGTAACTAACACGACTTTCTTTTATATATATAGATATATGCTGATGACTGCACGGTTGGTGCGGTGGCTGGGCAACCGGCTGCCGTGCGACGTGTCGCGGGTTCGATTCCCGCACGGTACAACACTTTGTGTGATCCACAAATTGTTGTTTCGGGTCTGGGTGTCATGTGTATGTGAAATTGTATGTTTGTAAACGCACCCACGACACAGGAGAAAATCCTAATGTGGGGCAACGTTTTTTTAAAAAGAAAA